GCTATTTTATTTTTTCCTCCTTGCTGTTTTTGAGATTTATGCTGATTCGATTTTTCACTTCATGGACGCTCAGATTAAAAAATGTGTTTCTGATGCTGAGTATCTTGGCCTGGGAGGAGACTGCAGGGAGGCCTTCCTTCCCCCAGACTTGTCGCAGGCTTTAGCCTGTCAAAGCTGGCTGTAGTCAAAGTCAGCAGAGCCCCAAAGCTCCGGTTGGCTCATTTGCCTGACGACCCCACACTCTTCAGAACACGCTTGGTTCGTAGATGGACCCAGGCGGGGTGGTCAAACAGCTAGAGTTTGGCTGGAGGTCAACACATTGTATCCAAAAAGCCTTGTCCATGTGTATCTCTGTTCCCTGGAAGTGGAGGAGTGGTAAATTTTTGTTTACCAAGAACTCTGATCACAGAGTTCTTGATGTGAATAAGGCAAACATTATTACTCCCTCTACAGTGCTCTTTGTTCATGCAGTCTGTTAGGCCCTAACCCAGCAAGTCACAATTAGTTGAGCACACATTTCTCTCTTTTGCCAGCTCCTCTTGGCTCCTGGAGAGCAAAGTCTGTGTGTTAGGCCTATCCTCAGTGTCCAGGCTGAGAGTGGCCAGCAGTTGTCATTGCTAGATGGTTGTTGAATGACTGAGTGAACGATCTTTCCACTGGTGTGCGGGGTCAAGGTTGTTGTGCTGTTTACTTCACTTGGGACTTATCCCAAACCAGAAGCTTCTGGGTGGGCTCTCAGGGGCTGGCCCACGTGGGGAGAGGAGAGCTGGCCATTTCAGCCTGACTTCCCAGGGCCTCTGTTCCCTCATATGTAAAAAGACCTAAGAGGAGAAGATGGTTTTCAAGAATCCTAGCACGGCAAGTCCTTTAAAGAACACACTGGGCATCTAATTTCTTTTTATGATATTCTTGTAAAGCAGAGAGAAAGAGAAAGGAAATAATCCATCTGTGGCTGCAGTGGATGTATATGAGGTGGTGGTGGCAATGGTGGCTGGTGATCCAGGCTGGTGACAGCAGACCTGCCTCCCCTCCATGAATATTATAGTGACGAGCCACTTAAACAAATACAACAATAATAAAAATAAATAAATGAGACAAATGAAAAATCTTCTGCAAAGCAAAGGAAATAATCAGCAGACTAAATAGATAACCTACAGAATTGGAGAAAATATTCATAAACTATACATCCAATAAAGGACTAATATCTAGAATGTACAAAAAACTCAAATCAGCAAGAAAAAACCAAACAACTCATTAAAAAGTGGGAAAAAGATTTAAGTTTTCAAAGGAAGATAGACAAATGGCCCAAAAAAATGTAAAAAATATTCAATATCACTACTCATCAGAGAAATGAAAATTATTAAAATTATTAAAACCACAATGAGATACGACCTCACCCCTGTCAGAATGGTCATTATTAAAAAAAATCAATAGACAATAGATGCTGTCAGGGATGTAGAGAGAAAGGAACACTTGAACACTGTTGGTGGGACTGAAAATTAGTACAACCTATGGAAAATAGTATGGGGATTCCTCAAAGAAATAAATGTAGACCTGCCATTTGATCTAGCAGTCCCACTGCCAGGTATCTACCCAAGGGATAAGAAGTCATTTTATCAAAAAGACACCTGCACGTGAATATTTATTGTATCAAAATTCACAATTGCAAAGATATGGAATCAACCTCAGTGCCCATCAATTCATGAGTGGATAAAGAAAATGTGGTATTTATATATCATGGAGTGCTACTCAGTCATCAAAAGGAATGAACTAATGTCATCTGCAGCAACTTGAATAGAGCTGGAGACCATTATCCTGAGTGGAGTATTTCAGGAATGGAAAAACAAGCACCGTATATTCTCACTAATAAGTGAGAACTAAATGATGGGTACACATGGGCACAAAGAGATATAAAGGACATTGGAAACCAAGAAGGGGTGAGAGTGGGAGGGAATGTGAGGGCTGAAAACTTACCTACTGGGTACAATGAACACTATTCTGGTGACACACACATTAAAAACCCTGACTTATCATTATATAAGGTTTCCATTTAATAAAACCATTTGTATCCCCTTACTATTTTGCAATAAAAAATGAAGAAATCTGGATCCTTGGAATTAATGGTACTTCAGATGTTTAGGGAGGTCTAACAATTGGGAGATGCAGAAAGGGAGGAGTGCAGTTTCCAGGCCTCAGCTTGGGGTGTGTGGGGTTCTGAGGCTCTCATGCGATGTCAAGGTGAAAACATTCCATGTGCATTTTGGAAATAGGAGGCATGAGCTTAGCAGTGAATGCCAGTGACAGGCTTGGGGTCCCTTTGGGACTATATTCTAAGCAATGTTCTTGTTTCCCACTGAGCTTTCAGCAGGTAAGAATTTGGCTCCAAGGCTTGGCAGCTCTTGGGCAAGAGTGTGCCACTGGACCAGTATTTTGTGTCTCATGGGAAGCAGGTTTTATTTCTAACAGGGCAGAACAAAGCAGGCGTGACTGACTCAGGGAAGATTCAGGAGATCAGGAATGACTTGTGTGTCAGTCTGGGGTTGAGGCAGGGGACAGACGGCATGTACCAAAAAGGTAGCGGGAAAGATGGAGCGGAAGGACTATTTGAATGTGATCCGTGCTAAGGCGACTGGCTAGGGGATGGTGAAGTCCCCGGGGTGGGGGTGGGGGTGGGGGGCCAGCAGCAGCAGGGAGCTGCTACCACCCGGAACTGCAGTTCCAGCTGTTGACACGGCCACTACCACTACCAGGGAGGGAGCTGGGAAGTAGAAGCCTGTCCTCTCTTTTCTTTGATTTTCCTCCAGGGCATTTTTGGAGTGAGACAGTCTGTAGAGACCAGGCCCCTGGGGCAGCAGGGGAGAGTAGGGACTGAATTTGGAGGGAAAAATGGGCATGATCCAGCACAGATTGGGCAAAACGTGTTTGTGCATGGTCTCCTTGATTTTGTTTTGACATAGACGAACATTTATGGTCAGTGTCTATCAATCTATCCATCATCTATCATCTCTATGCCTTCTTCAAATAGCAGCTTTATTGAGATATAATTTGCAAGCCATAAAATCCACCCCTTTAAAATGTACAATTCAGCAATTTTCAGTATATTTGCAGTCTTTTTTGAAGTCTAAAAAAAGAGACAGATCAGTTCTTCCTGATCCTGAAGACAGCAGGATTCAGCAGAAGGAATATTTTCTTTTCTTTCTTTTTTTATTGTGGTAAAATATATAGAATATAAGATTTGCCATTTTAAGCATTTCTAAATGTACATACGGAAGATTTTGTAAGTCCTGCTGCATGCTCCAAAGGGTGCAGTCGGGGTGGGGACCCAAATGAAGCGAGAGGTACGGCTCTACAGCAGTGGCTCTCAAGGCGGCTGAGCCAGAAGAGCAGGTTTCAAATTTCCAACCCTTGGTGGACAGATATGTGGTCCCCACACATGACTAGTGGCAGCTCAGGTCACGTGTTCCTCTGCACATGAGTTCGTTCATGCCCAAACTGCCCTGCACCCTGTTCAACCAGCCAGGCCCATTGAGCTCATGCTTGGACCTGGCGACAATTCCAAACTGCCACCCAAGTTCCTGCCTTCTCGTCCTCAATTTGTGGACCAGTTAGAGCAGGCCACAGACCAGCACTGGCCCATGAATCACCCTTGAAGTAACATTGCAGTAAAGGAAACTTCCAGAGAATTAGTGCCCCTTGTAGTCTTCTTTCTAATTCTTTTTCTTACACGCAGACTCTTCTCTCCTAGAGGGATCCCAAGCGACTGACTCACCTCCTAGGCTCAGCCGTGGACTCTGGGCTTCTCAGCAAAGACACGTGGCCATCGGGAGACAAGTCCGGAGCCCTGTGGACAGGTGGCTGGCATGCACTTTGCCCGGGGGGCCAGGCCCTCCTGCGCGGCTCCAGTGTCCTGAGCCCCGCCGATACTGCAGATGCCTAGACACCCGGCAAAGAAACCAGCCCCGGGACCCAGGGAAGAAGCGGAGCGAGCAGTTTCGGGGCCAGCAGGCGATAGTTAAAGAGAGGGCAGCGGCTAGGTGAGAACAGTGACCGAATGCAACATGGTAATAATAGCTGGGTTCTGGAAACCCTTTATTGAGATGTAGCAGTCAAACCACATGGTTGTTAAACAACCATAACTATGTCTTAAATAATCAGTTCAGCTGGTCTCTATTTAACATAATAGATGCCTATTAAACCTAAATTAAGTACAGAGTTAAATGTCTTGAGGACACAAAAACCCCAAAATGACTGCCAAACCCAGAACGAAACCTCTGGCTGGAATGAGCCGCGAGGGCGTCCGCCCGGTCTGGGCGTGTTCTGGTCTGGACAGAGCAGAGCCGCGTCCCACGGCCCAGCTGTCCGCGCTGGGAGAAGAACATTTCCCGGGCCCGGGGTGTGGAGGGGCACAAGCTTTGAGTACACTTCAATCCTGATTATATCTCATGGCTTTTTTAGCTTTATAGATATCCCTGAATTTGCCAGAAATATACAAACGCCTCCAAGAAGCCCTGCGAGGCCTGCGTGGCCTCGAATATGCCAGATCGAGGGTAAGTCCTGCTCCTGCCCCTGCTCCCGTCCCTTTAAGGCCCCATCCCACGCTCAGACTGCAGCGAGAGCCTAGCCGGGACCTCCCTCCAGCCCACCTTCCCTCCTGCCACCATTCACTTATCTATTTACTCGTTCATTCCATCAAGAAATGCTCTGTACCTACTATGTGCCAGACACTCAGGTAGCAAGACAGTGGCAGTGAAAACAGGCCCCTGGGGCTTACATTTTGGTGGGAGAGGCCACCACTGCTCAGAGTGGTTTTTTTTTTTGTTGTTGTTGTTGTTTTTTTAATTATTTAAGACCTTTATTAACAGGTGCTTGCAGTTTGTTGACTTTTTCGAAAAAAGTCAAGTTGTAAACTTTTATTACAAATTAAAAATGAACTTCTTAAAAATCTCAACTTAGCCAGAAATGAAACAATTTAAAAATGTTTAAAGGTGTGTTGAGAAAAACCACGCTTTTTTTAAAAAAAACACATTTGTTATTACCAAAAAAGGTGTCTTTGGGTAAAAACAATAAAAACCCAATGCTGCATAGCAAATGCAGATACTTCTAGTTATTTGGTCAATGGGCAAAAAGCAAGCAATTAAGGTCTTCAGCTCCAATCTTTTGTTCATTTCTTATTGCTGGGATTTCATATTTATTTCTTCTTGTTGGATGACTCAACGGGAGATTGGTGGAGATGGTAAGCGGCCTGGGCTGAACCCCGATCCGCCCAGCCTCGGAGCGGACAGATTCCAGCTGGTGGACCGGCTGCTTCGTCTCTTTGCCGTCTTAGGGTTTTCTGGGTGTCTGTGTTGGTGATTGCAGTTGTGGCAGCTGCTGACCTTGGGTCTCATCTCCCCGATTCTCTGCATCCTCTTCCTTGCTGTTCTCTCTGGGCTGTCTTGGTGAGGAGGGTCCATGCAGAATCGTGGTCTGTAACCCCGACACATAATCTGTCCTACTGGTCTACCTTGTTCTCCTGCACTCTGGTTGTGAGCACCCTCCATCACTCCTCCCTGCACAGGAGGGTGGGACACTGCGGTCAACGCCCATAGGGTCTTGCCTGTACAAGGTGGGAGCCTTCGCCTGCGGTAGGGCCGGTTTGCTGGGCCTGGCCTTTGGGGACAGTCTCCACCCCTCGTTCTCTTCCCACCTCACTGTCCTGGCTGGGAACGGGAAAGGACCCCTGCCATGCGGGTGGTCTGTAACGGTTGCCATCTGCTGCATTCTAACTGCCTTGAACTGGGACTCCACCAGGGCCTGTGCCATTGGCTGCCACCACACCCGTTTCTCCTTCAGCAACGTCAAATCCGTGGTGTCTCCATCTCCTGCCCTGCAAGGTGCTTCCAGGGGCCATTCTTCTTTATGGCGGCTGGTGTATTCCTGTCGATCAAACCATCTCTGTTTCTTACATTGAACCATTTTACTGTTCCCCAAACCTTCCTTGCGATGATCTTGTCCCTGCTGGCAGGCGCCGCTGATGTGAGGCCCCATGGGCCACCGCCCGTGGTGCCAGGCTTGGTGTGGGCTGCGCTGCGGGTGGGGGGGGGCGGGCGGCTCACGGCTGCGGTGATGGTGACCCGGGCCGGCTGCGGCTGGGCTGCCCGGGGCTCTCTGGGGTCCGCTCTCTGCCCCCACTACCGATGTAAGTCAGAGTGGTCTTTCTGAAAGGCAATCTGTTCCCCCACCTCTCAGCCTCCAGGAATGAAAGACCCCGTGTCTCTCGCCATTCTCATCTTCCTCGTCTGCCTTCCTCCTCTAGGCCCCACCGCGTGCAACCGCTTAGTGACGTTCCTCACAGCTCCTCCGGGCACCCCTGCAGAGACATTGCCTGGGATGACAGCTACACATGCACATTCCCAAGCCCCACTCCAGAGCTACAGAATTAGAATTTTTTTGTTGGTTAGACCAGAGAAGAATCAGTCCCTCCATTTCTGATCAGGCTCCACGGGTGATTTTGCTGCATGCTAAGGCTACTGAGCCACCACTAATTAGGGTTTCCAGAGCGTTTGCTGCACCCAGGCCTTTGCCCCCTGCCTCCCTCTGCCTGAATGTGCTCTAGGTCCTCCTGAGCTGCTTGGGGACTCTCATCTGTCGAGACTCAGCTCAGTGTCACAACCTCAGTGGCCTTTCCTGCCCCTCCCCCCAGCAGACTTGCTGGCTCCCTCTCGGAGCCCTGTCCCCTCGGTCCAACACACACACCTGCAGAGAACCCTGACAAAGCTCTCTGGGGCCTGAGATCAGTGCAGAGCTCTGTTTGTACAGCTGTGCCCTCCAGAGCCCGAGGGTCAGCTCCTCTCCAAGTCCCAGCCCCTAGGTGGGACCAGCCCTCCCCCCATACGGTGGGAGGTGTGGGCTGCAGTGTCAAGGACAGCGACTGAGAGGAGGGTCCAGGCCCCCTCCCTGGTTGCCCTCCAATCTGTCCACTTCTCTTAATCTCCATCACCACAACCTCAGTCAGGCTGTGACTGTTATTTTAGCTTTGAGCATCACCTGATTTTTCCTCTGCTGGAGGAGACTGGCAAAGCCAAGTATCCCTCAAGGTCCAGGACAAACAATGGATTCCATCTCTTTTCTACAAGGACAGTTTCACTCAAAATATGGCAGGAAACCGTTCTGTGGGATGCCTTGGCCCAGGTAGGCCGTGTGGTTTCCCCTGGGGGGTGGAGTTGGAGCTCATCTCTTGCTGTCTGCCGGAAAGCTCCTCCTAAGAGTAGGACTTGCTGGTTCACGTGGGTGACCAGACTGCCACGGATGAGAGGGAGGAATGACCCGTGTCGGAGATAGAATCAATTTTTTGCTTTCCACACTTTCGCATCAAGTTCATTTGCTGTATATAATAGACTGGACACATGTTTTCTCTGTTCATCCATTTACTCATGTGCCTGGGAAGGTCTATTAAGAGGAGTCATTTCTGGTTTATGGAGAAGACACTGTAATCCGTAATGAGAGATTTTCCATGGTCACGCTGCGCTGCGGACTGCGGGAGGTCACGGATCCCTGGCGGCGGGCCTGTGGTCGTTCTCTGCACTGCCCCTGCTTCTCGTAGCCCTCAGCTCACCTGTGTGGCCCGAAACCCCGGGTTTTTCTTAGCATTTTGCTATAAATGCTAGATCCAAGGCACAATTTTTTGTCCTTATTTTCCTTCGATGTAGCAGGAGGCTCACATGTAGTCGTTGGAGTCAGACAACTTGGTTTCAAATTCTAGTTATGCCTCTTACCAGCTGTGGATTCTTGGACAAGTGGCTTACCCTTTCTTTGCTGTGGATTTCTTTTGCTGTGGCTGGGGGATCGTGGTATTACCTCCCTGCTCGGGTGGTTGTGAGGATTGAACGAGGTGGACTGTTTCGTAAAGCTCTTAGCACAAGGCCTCATCCTTAGTCTTCTGTTCAGACAGCACTCTGTTTCCTGTCTGTTCCTTCTTACTGTCCTTTCTCAGCATTTTGTCTCCACCTGCCACGAAAGCACGGGCAGCGCTGGGGCTTCTACCTTAACCTGTGTTTTCTTTCCTCCTTCTTACTTCATACACATTTCGGGGGTGATTTTACTTAATCCTGTGCTGTCAACTCTTCTCTACCTGGACATAAGCCCCGAATCTGGGCCTTCAGCTCTTCATTGCAAAGTTCCAACCCCTTTGCCAACGGCCTGCGGTTCACATTCACACGGATGTCTCCTAGACACCTCCACGTCTGGACTCACGTGCCCACCGTAGCCCCTGTCCCCAGCTGTCCTCCCCTCCCTGGGTGTCTAGTTTATAGTGCCTTCCCGTCCTGCACATTGCCTTCAAGCATGTGTCAATCAATTAATGTCTCTTTTAATAATAATGATAATGTTCATATTAATATATGGCACCTCGGCCGGGCGTGGTGGCTCACGCCTGTAATCCTAGCACTCTGGGAGGCCGAGGCGGGCAGATTGCTCAAGGTCAGGAGTTCAAAACCAGCCTGAGCAAGAGCGAGACCTCGTCTCTACTATAAATAAAAAAGAAATTAATTGGCCAACTAATATACATAGAAAAAATTAGCCGGGCATGGTGGTACATGCCTGTAGTCCCAGCTACTCAGGAGCCTGAGGCAGGAGGATCACTTGAGCCCAGGAGTTTGAGGTTGCTGTGAGCTACGCTGATTTCACGGCACTCACTCTAGCCTGGGCAACAAAGTGAGACTCTGTCTCAAAAAATATATATATATATGGCACCTAATGATTTAAGAAAAAGTAAGTCAGAGGATAAAACTCTGGTCCTCAGAGCCTTGCCTACGCAAGCCACTCTTCCCGGTGGCCGACCACTGTTCTTTATTCTGTCTCCCCCACTGGCTGGACATCAGGGGACTCTCCTGTTGAGCCATCTCAAGCAAAATAAGCACCAGCATGGAGAAATGACATGTTTCTGTAAAGAACAATGTCTTTCTGCCAAAAGCAGGGCCTCAGAATAGCTCATAACTTAGTACACAGCCAGACAGTACTGGCAGTCAGAAAGGAAGTTGATCTTGAAAAGGGACAGAGGAGGAGATGATCAACAGAGCCATAGATAATGTCAGCACATTATCATAGCTTGATGTTTACACATCCAGGGTGTAGGGTGGATTCACAGAATTTCAGTTAAGTGTTCTAATCCCCACCTGGGCATTAGAAGATTCTCGTTTTCATCTTGGCTTTCCCTTGAGCAAGCCACTTTTTTTCTTCGTACTGCTAAGGAACATGTTGAGAATTGGTAGGGACATTTCTGATTATCACGGTGATGAGGCAGGGTTGTTCTAGCATTTAGTGGGTGGGAGCCAGAGGGCCGTGGTAGCCTAGTGCACAGGGCATCCTCAGCTTCAGCCCGTCAGCATTTCTCCACTGGTCACTCAAGTGGGTAGAAAATGTGTTTGTAGTTATCTGGGCCTCAAATCAAACTCCGTTTTACATATGAACTCAAATCACCATTTCATGGTTTTAATGTATGCTGAATTTTCTAGGAAGGTAAGTACTATGTAGATGGAAGCAAGCATGTACTTTGTTTTGTTTGTAGTACTAACGAAAGTTGTACATATATTTTGAAAAATCATATCACCGACAACAGTGCCATTCCTAAGAAGTGAGGTGACAATACAGTACTCACTCATCTGCACTTCCAGACATTGGATTCTTGGTGATTCTTTATCTATCATTAATGTACCTATTTAGCTCTTATTTCCAAAGGTCAACTGTAAAGTACAAATGCGGATAATATATCACACATAGGTGTAAGCATCTGATTTATTCATTATGTTTTCTAGGTGTATTTGTTCACAAGCACTTGCATATTGGACATTCGTATTCACTATTTATTATTCATTATTTATTATAAATTATTTCTCATTTATATTATCGGGCTTTACATTTGTCTTTAAAATTACATAGGTAGGTTATACGTCCATAGCTTCATTTAAGACTAGCAAAGGAGGTGCTGCAAAATATTTGCTATAAGAATGGGATGTGGGGTCAGATAAGGTGAAGAACCTTTGGACCAAGTAATTTTCAGCTCTGATATTTCAGGAAAATGAAATGACATCAAATAAAACAAAAAGGCCAGGCAGAACTTCTAACAAAGGGACTGAGCAACACGCTAATGGAAGAGGTTGCAGACGCCTTCACAGTGGCAAGCACCCCCCACCGCCACCCCACCCCATTTAAGAGAAATGCCAATTATTTAGCTCTCCATGTCTTCGGCTCCCCTGGGAGTTGAGTCCACCCTCATAATCTTCCCTGGCAACTGTTGCTAGGAAGATGCTGCCTCTTGAGCTGACCTTCCAAAGGCTTGAGATCACAGCCGGTTGTCTCGCAGCTGCTGACGAGGGGATCAATTTTGCCCAGGAGAGTGATGAAGAAATAAGCAAACAGAGCACAAATAGCAACAACACTCATAGGATGCCAGGGACAATATGTAAGACATGCCAGTCATGGGCTGCTGGATATTGCTGTTGTTTTCCGTTCCGGGAGGCATGGGAGGAAAAGACAGGACCATTACAACAGTCTGCCCACTGCACTTTCTTGTTGTAACAGTGATGGGGACGCTGTAAGGGAACCTCTTAATTTGGCCCCTTTCATTAAGCCTGTCCACAGAGGACAGAGCCCGGGGCTTACAGGCAGGGAGGCTGCAACCCTTGCTGCTCCATGCTTTTGCTACAGCTGAGTAGAGATAGGTTGTGACAGTGATGATGGTAGCTATCAGTCGTTGATACTTGCTTTTCTGGCATTGTCCTAAGCGCTTTACACAAATGACTTCATTTAGTCCCTACAGCAACCCTGTGAAGGAGGTGTCACAAACTCCCCTATTGTACCAATGAAGAACCAGCTTCTAGAAGATCACCCCACCCAGCCAGTGAACAGCCGAGTGGGATTTGATCTCAAGTCTGACTGGCTCCCAAGCAGGCCTGTTAAACCCTTGCACTAGTATGTAGCTTGTGCTCTTTGCACTGATTTTGGTTATGTGCTTTAGTTTTGAATAGATACAGGTGACAGTGCATGCAGGAAGATTCATTCATTCATTCATTCTCCACCAGATGGGACCCAAGCGTGTGCTTACTGCCAAGCTCACTAGGAACCTGGGTAAGACTCACACCCTTCCCCAGGGAGCTGAGGGTCTGGTTCTGTGCAGAACCGAGCCTCTGCTAGAGGCCCATTCTTGGAAGCGCACAGCCTCTTTGATCCTGCCGGGTCTGTGAGGGGCAGGTGGGGGAGTACCGGTGCGCTCACCGACTGCACAGGTGTTCACAAGACCCTGGTGGACTGTGCTACTTCCCGCCTTCGCCCAGGGCTCCCAGGGCAGGGTGCTGATCTTAGGATCAAGGGGAGGAAAAAAAGCCACACGTCAGCAGCCATTTATTGGTGCAACTTGGTGTTAGACACCGGGGCTTCATCTCACTTAACCTGCAGAATGACATGGACCTGGCTGTGCGTGGCTCAGGAAGAAGATTGCCAGGTGAGAGGGTAGGGCTGCAGGTGCACCTGTTGTCACCTCTTCACACTCAGCCTGGGCTCAGCGAGGCACTCAACGCAGGCTGTGGAATCTGCCACAGGCTTTCGACCTCTTTTGCTGACTTCCACTTGCTTCTGTCCGGGAGGATTTGCAGAGCCTCTGCCCATCTTCGTAGGGAGCTGCTTGCCCAGAGCACGGACAGGGCACGGACAGGTGCCAGGGATGCCTTCCCAGGCCCTCACTGCAGGCACTCCCTGGACAGCTGCACTGGCCTCAGCCTCCCTCTGCCCACGGGCCTCTCACTAGCAGCCAATGCTCCACTAGCTTCCCCACTGTGGCCTCTGCCTCCACTCGTGCCCACGCCGGGCCCAAAGGGCGTGCAGAAGCCAGGCTGGCTCTCGGGGCAAGCAGGGCTGAGCTGCCCACCCACGTGGCCTGTGCAGTGCCCTTCCTTCCTTCCTTCCTTCCTTCCTTCCTTCCTTCCTTCCTTCCTTCCTTCCTTCCTTCCTTCCTTCCTACCTTCTTTCTTCTTTCTCTCTTCAGGTATGGGCATTAAACACTTTGGAAAAAAATTTATTTTGTATTTTATGTATAGTGAAATTCACTTTTCTTGGTGTATAGTTTTGCATATTTTGACAAATGCATGGAGTCATGTAAGTATGCCACAATCAAGATAAAGGATAGCTCTATCGACCCTCTCAAATATCCCTCATGTTGCCTTTTTGTAGTCAACCTACCTCCCCTGCACCTAGCCCCGGGCAGCCAGCTGTTCCCTGTTCCCTGTCCCTATAGTTTTGCCTTTCCCATAAAGTAATATAAATAAAATCGCACAATATTTAACCTTTTGGGTCTAACTAATTTCATTTAGAAATTACATTTGGAGATCCGCCCATGTTGTTGTGTGCATCAGTGGTTCCATTCCTTTCTGTGGCTGAGCAGCATTCCGCTGTACGCATGTACCACAGTTTGCTTATCCATTTCCCAGCTGAAGGACATTGCGTTGTTTCCAGTTTTTGGTGATTACAAATAAAGCTGCCATAAACATTCACATACAGGTTTTGAGTGAACATAGGTTTTAGTATCTATTTGGACAAATATAGAGGAGCAGGATTGTTGGGCCATATGGGATGTTTAACTTTATAAGAAACTGCCCAAGTTTCCTAAAGTGTCTGTTCCCTTTTACATTTTCACCAACAACATGAGAGTTCCTTTTGCTCCTTTTTCCCCCCCAACACTTGGTGTTGTCAGTTTTTTTTTTCTATTTGAAGCTATTCTAATAGGTGCAAAACGATATCTGAGTACAGTTTTAATTTGCATTTACTTAATGACTAATAACGTTGAGAGCCTTTTCATGTGCTTACTTGTCATCCATATGTCTTCTCTGATGTCTGCTTAACTATTTTGCCCATTAAAAAAAATTAGGTTGTTTGTTTTTTCTTATTAGTGATTTTGAGAGTGTAAAGAAAATATTCCGGATAGAAGTCAGATACGAGACTTGAAAATATTTCTCCCAGTCTGTGGCCTTTGAGTGACAGGGGTCATTTGTACAATGAGCAAATTGATTCGGTCTGACCATGTGGTCACTGCAATCACAGGGAGGGAGAATGCAGTTCCGCCCTGTGCCGGGAGAGGTGCAGAACCAGAGATATTTGGTGAACAGTGCTAAGGACCACCATACACACTGCTCGTGCTATTTCAGAGTCTGCGTAACAGTATTTTGTGAACGTTCTTCCACGTTAAGCAAGTATTCCTTTATAGCAGGGATTCGCAAACTACAGCCACAGGGTGAATCTAGTCTATTGTCTGTTTTTGTTTGGCTTGCCAGATGTTTTTTTACAGATGAACATTTGAAATTGATTTAATGATAAGGAAAACCCACTTTGAACTTCAGTTAGTCAAAATATTATTGGTCCAAAAAGAATTAGATTGGTACAGCTATGTTACAAGAGAATTGTATTCAGTCAGTCCTGCATCGTAAATTTGTTCAGAAAAATTTGTGGAAATTTGTTTTCTTTCATTATTGTAAGTTCTACATAATATCCTTGATTTTTACCTCTTGGCCTACAAAACTTAAAATATTGACCCTCTCACACTTGAAAAGCTTTGCCCAGCCCTATTACATAGAACTGTTTTTCAGAGCTGCATGGTATTCTACAATTTTCAATCTTATGTACATACTGTAACATTCTTATGCTCATACTGTTCAACTATATCGTTTCTAGATTTTTCCCATGTAAACAATGCAGTGATATAGATCCTTGCACATGTGTCACAAAGATAACTGTTGATCATTTCCTTGGAATAGGTTCCTAGAAATAGAACTGCTGACTCTAAGGGTGGGCACATTTTGTAGGTTTTGACTCAATATTTCCAAGTAATCTCCCAGGAGTATACCATTTCACATCCCACCTGCAGTGGGTGAATATGCTATTGGCTTATACATTTTCTAAAGCTAATAATATAATTGTATAATATCAGTAGTGATTTAACTGGGGATAAAATGTCTCCTTATTGTCATTTAATTTGCCTTTTAAAAAATTATTGGTGAAACAACATGTAATTCTTTTTTTTTTTTACATGTTTAAGCCATTTGTGTCCTTCTTTTGTAACTGGCTTCTTCAAGTCCTTTGTCTAGTTTTCTGTGGGATAATTTTTTCTTCTTTATTCAGTATCCAACAGTGTCTTGGACAAGTGGCTGAAAAGTTATTTGCAAGGCTGTATTAAACCCAGCCTAGAAACATTTTTTTCTAAATTTATTTTTATTTTTGTACTCTCTGGTCTAAGTCAGGGGAAACTTTTTTTTTTCTTTTTTTTTCTCTGAGACAGGGTCTCACTCTGTTGCCCAGGCTGGAGTGCAGTGGTGTGATCACAGTCCACTGCAACCTCAAACTCCTGGGCTCAAGCAATCCTCCTGCCTCAGCCTCCCTAGTAGCTGCGGCCCAGAAACTATTCAGGGGAGCCATCCTGCTACATTCTTGGACTGAAGGCAAATCTAGTCACTTTCCTCTGCTATGCTAACATGGGCTGTGATTTTAAAAGACTTTCTCCTTCAGTCAGCGAGTGACATCTGCTGCTTAACAAGAAGGCAAAGCCCCGTTTGTCTAACCGGCCAAATCTTGGGATTTGAAAACGTGGCACTGGGAACAAGGAGAGACGTGTTGGAAACGAGTCTTCTGGTTTGGGATTCATGAGAATTTCTTGGTTGCCAACCAGACCCAGCTCCCAACAGTGACATTCCACGTGGTGGAATGTGAGCAGGGTGCTGGGAGCACCACCTGGCCGTGGGAAGCCTAGAATATTTCCCCATGATTAAAAATGAAATCAAATCAGTGTTTTCGAAAGGGGTGAGAAACAGAGGGGGGTGCGGGACCAGCATCCCCATTGCGTTGTTGCGGACTCTGCCGTGCTCGCGTGTCGGGATCGTTAGTGAGTAGGAGGAGGAGGACGCTCCGTGTGTTAGAGCCAGGTTGACGCGACAGCAGCCGGCCCACGGTGCTTCTGGGAAGCCGTGGTCACTGAGGAGGCTCCGATGCTTGGGCGATCCCCCATAGTCACGCTTTCTGATGCTCGTTGTGTTTAAGGTCGTGGGTAGGTGGACAAAGACATTTTTTTTTCTTCCTCAAACTTTTTAAACAGGGGGTCCAGTTCACCGTCCCTCAGACCGTTGGAGGGCCGGACTATAGTTTAAAAAAAACCACTATGAACAAATTCCTATGCACGCTGCACATATCTTATTTCGAAGTAAAAAAACAAACCGGCAAAAAAACCCAACAACAACAACAACGCCAGCATGTGGCCCGTGGGCCGTAGTTTGAGGTCGCCTGTTCTAACCTGTATCCTTGTCACCACTGATTTCTGGAACTGCATTTTAAAAATTTCTAGGCAAAGTGTTCACCTTTATTTTGGTTTATTTCTCTGTGAACATAATCGTCACCTGTGACGCTGGAGCTCTGAGAGAATAAATTCTAAATGAGCTCTTGATACTAACTAATAGGTTCATTCCAGTTTCCTTGGGCTTTGAGATGTGGGGATATAAGAAATCGCAGTCTTTGCTTTCAGGCAGCTCACAGACTGGCAAAGTGGGCACTGCTGAACAAGTGATTCCATAAAGGGTGAAGAGTCTAGAGATGGATTTCCAGGTTGTTCTGGAACCATTTAGAGGGTAGTGGTAGGGAAGGCTTCCCAGAAAAGGGAAACTGAATTGAGTTATTTTTGGGGAAAAAGGGACTAGCCGAGGCGGGGGAGAGATGGAAAGCATGGAAGGGAGAGGAGAGCAGGTGCATGCTCTCAGCCCCCCACCAATCAGCTAACCCAAATACTTCTTGAATTGTTGTGATATACCGAGCACTGCCTCTCATGCTGTGGTGTAGCAATGTTTTCTAAATGAGTCTCCATTGGAATATTTGATATCTCTCAGAAGTTCACTCTCTTTACCCTACCCCTTAAAAATTCCCAGGCTGGTGGGAATGGAATTGTTAGAAAAGGGAAGAGTAGATAAAATATCACTCCATTCCCTGTTGTGTTGTCAAGTTCACCCAGAAGAAACTGCCAAGCTCGGGAAGATACTTATATGTGCAAATGAGTCTCTTTTCCCCTGCAAGATGTTTGCTAGCCGTCCACTCTCAATGTAGCAGAGGCTTCTGTTAATCACATTCGTCACAGGCTAGAATTCAATGTGATGTGTGGGCTGATCCCAACCTTCATTCAAGGGAGTTTATCGCAGACCTCATTACAACTTAGGTCTTCAGGAAGGGCCTTGGAAAGAGAATGAGATAGGCTCACAGATGTTGCCCAGGGCCAGCTGGGAGCCTAACCTTGCCCGAAGGATGAAAGTAGGATTGTTCTAGAAAGATGTCAAAACGAACCAGGAGAATTAAAAAAGCTCATATTCGCAGAGCTTTTCAGCATTTAAAAATCAAATCCCTTCACTATCATGGAGAATTATTCCCAATCTGCAGATGTAAAAATTGAGGCTCAGGGAGATTGAATGAGTCGCTACTAAGGGCCCAGACTTGAACTGAGGGCCCTTACTCCAGATATGATGCTTCCTTCACTTATACTTATTGACATCTCTGTAAAACACATGTTTTCTATAAAACTCTATGGGACACATCTGTCTGTCTCTTAAAAACCTTAAGTGTGCTTAAAGGTGACATGAGTAATAGCTCTGGGCCAATATTGTCTTTTAAAATTTGTTGCTTAATTCTTGAGTCTTCTGTTCTAAATCCAATTTGATTTTATAATTATGACACTCACCTTTTTTTTGGAGTTAGTTCTCTGAATGTTGAGGAATTCATCAAGGTCAGTTTGGAGCAAGGCAGGAAGGAGTTCCTGGCTTGTGCTGCAGAGAAAATCTGTATTCTTGTGGCTTACTGTGGGTTTTCCTAGTGTGGGATCTCAAGTACAACAGCAACCCAGAAATCAGGTCTTCAGAGCAGAAAG